CAGTCATCTTCGGTATTACGTGATGGTTACATGTCTATTTCATGTTTAGGATCTCTTTAAATCATCCAATATGTATTTTTAGATTTCTTAGATTTTTTTTAATTTTTTTTAGTATTTATACATATCTAAATTAGACAGCTATTTGACTTTGCGCTTTTTACCGCTATTTTGCCACAATAGCCCGAAATAGCCTTAGCGATGCCTCACCGCTACGCGACCAATAACATTGGACATAAACACATTTCTTAAGTAAATACTATTTCTAATTCTTTTAGGACATAGACTTCTCTTGTCCCCACATATATCTGTACATGAATGGAATACTAATAAATACAGTAAAAATCACCGACATGCGATTGAAAATATAAATGGCGTTTATAGGGTGAAGAGATAAGTGTAAGATTACTAGTTCTATTCTTAACAGAAAGAAAATGTCATGCTAATGCATGATTGCATGTATAATTCATGACACTGTAGTTAAGTAATGTAATATTCATTCTCATAGAAACTAATGGAAATTATTGCATTGACTCGTAGTCTAAAAAGAGAGTAAAATAATCATGCTCCGAATTGTCCTATAAACTTGATCCTATTTCAAAGTATAAACTATTCCTACATGATTTAACCGGTTGCACAAAGTAACTCTAGAAATTAAGAAGGGAGTGGACTACTTAGTTCGATCTACAGTTGCAGCTTGAACCTTTTCTCTTCCGGTTCTCCTTCGGTTCTCTCAGTTCTAGTAAACTCTTTATTTTCAACTCTACATACATTCCCCACTAGCTATATTTATACATATAGATATGGTTATGAATCAAAGCTCTGTCCATGAAGTCCCACACGCTGGAGTTATTATCTAGTCTGGCATGCTAATAGTCTATTTTTGATTAGGGTTTTATTTTTGATTTTGGGTTTTGGGTATCGGGTTTTGGGTTTTGGGTTAGGCTTTTTTTTTTTTGGTTCGGGTTTTTGGGAGCGCCCAGCTCAAAATTTGGGTCGGGAAAAGTGGGGCGGGCCGCTTAAGCGGCCCGCTTATCCCTGGGCGGCCGCCTAGGCGCTCCCAGCGCCTAGACGTGGCCGCTCAGGGCTAGGCGACACGCTCTGGGCACCGCCTCCGCCTAGGCGGGCGCCTAGGCGGCCGCCCAGAGCGTGTTTTACAACACTGCTAATAGACACCTGTACGATATTGGATCGGTATTTTGACAACAAATCCTTCCCTTGTGTCTTACAAGGAGACACATGCTTAGTTAAGACGCGTGATGCTACCCTCCTAAGTTTTAACCTTTGATGTCTTATGGGAGATAGCTACTTTCCCATCTTATTTTCATTTTATTCATTCATTTATTTAAGTTACTAGCAAATGTCTTTTATTATTTCATAATTTTACAATTAGTATACTGTATTACATTTTGTAAGTTGATACAAAGTCTTACTCTCTCTACTTTGTTATTATATGTCAATCTAGTATTTCACATGTGTAATTTGATACATTCTTAGTTATATGATCTTATTTGTACCTGATAGCAGTTATGATTCTTTAGTATATTAAACAACGGATCACCTTGTCTCAGCCCTCTCTTTCAAGGAAAGAATCAATGTAAGAAGCCATTGCAAGAAAATGGAATACTTAGAACTGCTAACACAACTCATAATCCATCCAACCACACTTGAAGGAAAACCCAGACAGACAAGTATATCTTCGGTCCAAACCCTTACACCTTCCCTCCTCTCCTCCGCCTCCACTAATGGTCTACTCCACATCCTCCCTTTTATCTTCTCTCCACCTTGTCATGCTCCACCTCCACCATCTCCTCCACCTTTAGGATTTCTCCAAACGCTAACCCCTTCCCTCCCCTCCTTCCTCTCCACCAATGGCCCCCTCCACCTTTCTTCTCATCTACCCTCCTCCCGTTTCACCTCCCTCACCTCCTTCCTATCCTCCTCTTTCCTCTCCTCCTCTCTCTCTCCATTCTCGCCGCCGACCTCCTTCCCTCCTCTCCCACTACCAACCCATCACCACCCCCTCGCTCCCGCTCTCCCCTTTCGTTCCTCCTCCTCTCTCTCTCCATTCTCGCCGCCGACCTCCTTCCCTCCTTGCACATTTTTTTGCCGTCCTGCCCTCCGTTCCATCCTTTCCTCCTTCCTAAAACACACTGAGGATCATGGCCAATAACTTCGCAGTTGTTACCCAACTAAGGTTTAAACTCATTTATGATTTTTTGAGTACTTTTCTAGCCAATAGGACCTTTGGTAATAACTGAATCAGGTAAGAGTGCAGGCATATCAACTTCAACAAGGACCCTAGCATAAGATGACCTTTGCTTAGTTGCTGTCAAATTATCAGTTGCAATAGGTCTTTTCATGAAAGTAACCACTCTACTAATCCCCTTCACATGCCAAAAATGTAATCGAAGACCAGGAAGCTGAATCCACATTGGATAAGTAGTAACCTTGAATTTCTCAATCGAACAATTTTTCACTGTAGACCCAAACTGAGTTTTTATTATCAAAATCGACCGATTTTTTTTTTAATTACCAAAATCGACCTGTTTTATGCCACGTAAGCATAATCTCATTTCCTAATTAGTCGGGGTTGCCAACCCCGACTGTTTAGGAGTTGTTAAACCCCAATTAGAAGCCTTAAACCTGATTTAATTAGGGTTTAACAACTCCTAAACAGTCGGGGTTGGCAACCCCGACTAATTAGGAAATGGGATTACACTTACGTGGCTTAAAACGGATCGATTTTGGTAATTAAAAAAAATTCGGTCGATTTTGGTAATAAAAAATCGGTTTGGGTCTACAGTGAAAAATTCTTCTTTCTCAATCTCATCTGAGTTTGCCTCAAGTACAATGGCCTAACACCAAAGAACCAAGGCAGTCTTAATTATTAAGTCTATCAAGAAAATGCCTGGCTTAATTAAAGCAGATTTAAGTACTAGCATTGATCTTTCAAAGCTTCTCAACATATGATTCCATGGCCTTGAATCGAACATTCAAGCCCACCACATGACCAGTTAGTGCAAATTCCCATTGAGCTTCTCTCTCAATCCACTCAGAACTCAATAAACAAGCTTGATCACTTCTTTTGTTGTTCAGGAATCGTAGGTTCTACTTTCTCATCAGAAATAATATCAGAGGCATCACCTTCCCCATTCTCCTTATCCCCATTCACTCCACCATTTTTTTCCAGATTCATCAATTGGACTTGAGAATTGAACATTAACCCTCTCCTCCATTTCAACATCCTCGGCCCAATATCTACTTCTAACAGAATGAGAAGGTAAAGAACTCAAACCTAAAGCATCCCAGATCTAGAATTACTTTGATTAGCACCATCTACATGATTACTAGCATTCGGATTTGTAATACACTCCATAATTCTTGAAGAACGAAGAACATCACCCATCGACAACATTTTACGAGCCCCAACAGGTCCCGTGCTCACCATCAAAATTAGCTAGAAGGGCCAACACCATCCTCCACAACTTGCTCAGAGGGAGATGAAATTGCCCTAAGCTCAGCCCTTGTAATTGATTTCACTTGCTCCCGACCAGAAGCCCTCTTCTTCTTCACCATAAACTCGGCGGTGGCGTACATTAGCAAAGGGGAAATCGCCTGCTAAAATGCGCAATCAGACCACCCTTAGTACAAAGAGATCTTTGACAGCTTGTACTACAACCAACCGTCTTGACTAAAAGTAGGGTGACTAAGGTATTTTAAGATTTCTTCCATGCTTGTTTATTTTTATATTATAATTATCAATGGAAGTGTCTAGACGGCATTTCAAACAAAGTCTTCTATTTCTAAAACCTAACCTACATTGTTCTTGGTTGCTTTGCAATAATTACTGGGGGGAAAAAAGGGGGAAAAACCATCTGATCATGTTTCAAAACCGGAAGATTTTTAACCTACTGTGGATTTGAGTCTGATTTTTTGGTTGATTTGTTCTCCATACTCCAATACTCTAATAAATATGACATCTCATAGGAGGATTAGAAAAGAAGGGTTAATGCTGTTAAAATGGATGTGTTTTTGCAATATTGCTCCTCTCTTGGAATGCCCATAACCCCTTGGCTTGTGATGAATCTCCAGCAAAAATCGAAACTTAATGCAGAATTTGAAACCACACAAACTATGAAGTTCTTGCGTTTATCCTCTAAAATTTATTTGATTTTGGGTATGTACATTAGGACATGGTGGAAGTGATTTACAAAAGATGTTAATTATGATGGGTAAAACTAAAATTCCCTTTCTTAAAGTGTGATAAAATTATAGAAGTATGAGGATTGAGCCCATCTAGAATCAGTAGTACGTCACTTTGACTTCCATTGAGGGGTTTAATCTGCAAGTAAAACTAAAATTCCCTTTCTTAAAGTGTGATAAAATTAAAGAAGTATGAGGACACAGCACATCTAGAATCAGCAGTACGTCACTTTGACTTCCATTCAGGGGTTTAATCTGCAATAATGGGTAGAAATCAAAAGTGGGATTTTTTTACTTTTCACTTGCACTGCATGATTGCCCTTGTTAGAGATTGTTAGCAAAAGATTGATTGCACTTCGCAAAATGTTAATTATGATTAGTAAAACTAGAACTCCCTTTTTTAAAGCGTTAATTAATGTATTATGAGGATTGAGCACATCTAGAACCAGAGGTAAGGCACTTGATTTCCATTGAGGGGTTTAATCTGCAACAATGGATTGAACTCAAAAGAGAGATTTTGATAATTCTTGTGCAATACTGCCTGATTGTCCTTGTTGGAAATTGTTAACAAAAGATTGAATACTGACTTCTTATATACAGAACGAACCATATGTTTATAAAAGTTACACATTGGAAGTAACTAAGTGTAATATGAATAGTGTTCAGTTTCATACATGGACACTTTTAGATTTTTACATAATATCTTGGTGATCTTATAGCCATCTTTCGAAACTTTGGAAATTTGTAATATCTCTCATAAACAACTTCATTTATTCTCAGGTGCCAC